AGAAATAGTCCTTTAGAATACAGTAATTCAGTGGTACTAACCACTGACTCAGGAATACAAGACAAAACAAGTAAAACAAAAACCTAAAACTTATCCTTGTAATTGCTGATAGAGGCAAAGAATAAAAACAGAAGCTTGTACAGAAATGTCTTTGTACAGGAATGTCTGTTTTTACAACATTTGAAATTTATTAGAAGACACAAATCATTTTAAAACTTGTAGTTGTTTCTAAGTTTTAATTCATAAGTAGCCAAATAATATATATTTATACCATCACTTACAATCATGAAACTCCTACATGAGTATGCAAATTTTATCATTAAGAATGATTATTATGTGATAAATTGCACAAGAAATAAACTAACAAGTATGTAATCAAAATAAAATAATACATGCTAATTGTTTTAAGAAATCTATCAGCTGTAATCTCAACTGTTCTTAAAAAATAACACCAGGTTTTATTTTTTTAAGTAATTTAAAACAATCCATTTTTAGCAAACCAATGTCCTATGAATATAGTAACTGAAGTTATAACTAATCTTAGCTTTACTCTCCAGTCTAATAAAATCTCTACGAGAAAACACCTTCTCAACTATGACACAGGCAATCTAATAAGCCTCCATCTATGTTAGAACAAAACAGGTAATTTAAAAACATCTGAGTAATCAAAGACTAATATTTGAAATACAAATCTGATAAATATAAATTCTTGCTGGTGTTCCAACAGCTTATGATACAATTAAATTTAATTTTGGGGGGAACACTCAGAATCCAGATGTTTAAAATGGGAACTAAATAAAAGTGCTAATAATATTGTTAAGAGACCAAACAGACATCCTCATCTCATAACTAAAATGGTTAAATATCTATGTAATTTGCCATATACTCAAGGAGAATATAGTAATAAGCGTTTAATAGTGTGGACATAGCTATAAAAGTGAAATAGCTTCATAGATCATTTCCTACACTCAATGTGTCTGAGTAATAGCAACAATACAAGATAAAATTAAAGATGCTATTCAAGGCAACAATGGATTCTAGGGTTCTTAGTTTTAGAAACCTTTTTCCTCTCTCCTATCTCCCATTAAGTAATAAAATGTGTCACACTGAGTTTGCACAGTTAAAGTAAAATTTGAGGTCTAAAAGTTTGGTCTTATTCTTAATTTGATAGTTTAATGAAGACTTAGAAGAAAGGCCCACCTGTATCTAAAAATCTATCTTTTGCAAGTCAAGTATGATCAAGAAGATGGATCAGTTCATTTCTATTATTACACTGATGCATCAACTAACTAATCTCAAGTCTGTAGTTCCTATTTCCTTCCCTAATACACAGAAACAAATAATCCCCTATTCTTTAATGACATAAAAGCAATCCTCCTTTATTAAGGCTTTTAAATATTTTCACCAAATACTTCTATTTAATGACGAATTTGTTCTAGGAATAAATTGTAACAGTATACATTTTTTTAATTAATTCAGCAAAGAATAATCAGTCATTAGTTATTATGAAGTAGTCATTCATTTACCAAGCATTTACTGAGTATTAAATATGCCAGAAATGTGGAAACAAAAACAAATACTAGATCACTGCATGGGCCATAACTACCTAGAACAAAGAACATCCATTACAAAGAGATAAATGCCTAAAAAGACTTCACAATTTCAAAACAGAATTTCATTTTGGTCTTTAGCCCTCAGTAGCATAAAAAAAAATACATTTTAATTGGAAACTTCCCACATAATTTTTAATTAAATGTTAAAAGCAAATGGCAAAAAGGAAGCAGTATTTTTAAAAAATTTGTAAGATACTATAAACCATCCTTCTCTTTAAGACTTTGATCATTTTCAGATTCTTCATGTCTAGTGCAAATAGTTCAGTCTAGTTATTTTAGAGAACATGTTTCAACAAATTCAAGTTTTCTGTCCCCCATATTCTAGAAATAATTAGATACAAAAACAGGACGTGCACATTTTCTGAAAAGCAAAAAATAAGCATGTATTATTACCACAACATATTTACCAACTGGAACCCTTATTTCAGAGCCCACATATATGTATCCTTTGTATTACTAAATAATACCACTACCCTACTATTTTATATGGAAAAAATATGATCACTCAGTAGTTATTTATATAAGTCCCTAATGGAAAAGAGTATAATTTTGATCATGTACAATAGAGGGAAAAAACCGAGACACAGAAATGGTAAATTACTTGTCAAAGACCTGAGAAAAACTTAGAGGCAAACTGAAAATAACAGTTGGAAACTAATATTACAGTTAACTGATTAACTGAACTCAATTTCCAATGATATTAAAAAATTCCACATGTGAATTCACATATACACATATACAATAACTGAAAAAGCAAGAAAATAATTAGAAAAGAATTTTTTATATAGCCTGAATTACATAGAGAAGTGTGGTTTCAAAATCAAAGCTGCTAAACAGCAGGTTCTAGTGAGTCATATACATTAGTTCAAAGGAACTTGAGAAAATATATTCAGCAAAAGACTATTAATTAAATTACCACCCAAGAAGTTTAATTTTATAAGAGAACCTAACAGACATAATAAGTTTAATGTATCTCTGACTAAGCACTGAAATATATCTTTGGGAAAAATAAAGTTTCATTTAAAATGTCTTAAAATTAAAGTTAAAAAATAGCATGTGTACACAATATTTAAGATGCAACTTAATCATAAAAGGGTGAACCTTTGTGGGAATGATTTGCAAACAATAATGGTGCCAATTACAAAATAAAAGAGATGTTAAGGGAAATGGCAGATAATAGCTTATACGATTATCTTTTTAAAAAACACATGAAATTCTACATAAAATAAAATTCTTCTTTAACTCAAGAGCAACAGTGCTTAAATTGAATATGTATTTCTTTTTTACAGAAGATTCACATTATAACCATAAAACATTTTATGGCACTGCTTTATATCCAGCTTATTTTGTCCTCAAAAACATTACTATGTAATATTTATAAAACATTTAATTCCCTCTTCATTACCTCTTTAAAACCTCTGCAGAAAATCTGTGATGTTATCTTCTTAACAAGGCAAAATCAAGGAAGAAGACTTTGTATATTCATTATTTCTAGAGTAACAAAAATATCTTTACCTTCCAGGAGACTTTCCACCAAATCCCAGACTCTGGCAAGTTATAATAATGCAATTAGGAAAGGAAATTTTATAGGAGAAACTAATTAAATAAGTGATAGGAAAGCCTAATACTATTTTAAAAATTTCAGCTATAAATGAAGGAAGATGGTGCCTACTTTTTTTTAAGACAATATGATATGATGTGTTGGACTTGCTCTTGCTATAAAGTGGTTTTTAAACTAAAAATTCAACATATAGCCTAGGTTCTTTCAAACACATGACCAAGCAAATAAAATAAATAGAAACCTGTAAAAATGTATAGGTCCTACAGCAAAAATGTCATGAATCAACTATCTTGAAAAAAATAAATAAGAGGGTTGATATTGACATAGGTTCAAATAATTAAAAACAGAATAACCAGCTCTCTATGTTTTAAACTATTGTTTCAAATTGATTATATCCCACAATACAACCCTCAACCCCAAGAGGATTTCCTCTAGACTGAATTTTTCTTCATTATATAAGACTGTTGTATGGGATTTTTTTTCCTTTTATTTATTTTTACAGTTTTATGCACTCCATCATGTTATGCTTATGCTTGGGATTTCTTTATTCACATAAATCAGAAAATTATATTGTGATCAGAATTATTCATGTGTATCTTCTGATACAGGAACTACTCTACCCTAAATTTAAATGAGTTTCATCTTCAGGAGAGTGCTCATGACATCTTATATGTACTACTTCAAAAATTACTGACCAAATATGATAGACCTTCTTAATTTTGTTGAAGCACTTTGCATTTCTTCACTGGAATTTTTATTTTCTCCTTATCTTCTTTAATGATAGAATAAAAAAAAAACTCATAAAATTTAAAACTGCATGTTTTTGAGGAATGAAAACAAACAGAAATTTGATTTTTAATGACAAATGACATCATTTTGGAAGCAAGTATTTAAAATCATTTAATAGGACTAATATATGTTTCAACACCTTTTTCTTTTTGAAACACTTAATTTCTATGCCCTCAGTTAATTTCATAGTGTTTTATCAAAAAACAATTTTTAAAAGAAATCAGAAAGGGTTCCCTTAACATACCAAAAGATTCTTTCTTACTGTACTTTGAAAGAATGATACCTCTTTTAAATGAGGTTTCCTTTCGTGCCACCTACTCCTCCATCTCACCTAGGGTTTTAAATAAATTTCTTCATCTCAACAAAAGAAACAAAAGGTTAAAATTAACAGTCTCTGCACCCTCAGGAATAGCCACTGTGCAACATCAGCTGAGATTCCTGATTAGCATTATGTCTGATACAAAAAGAAAGTACCAAATCAAAACAAAGAAACAAAGAAGAAAACAAAACAAAAAACAAAATCTACCTAGGCCATCTTTTCACTTTTCTTTATTTCATAAGAGAGAAGCATTTAACACATTCATTTTGATAAATGGTAAGGAAGTGCTAATGAAGCTCTTGTCAATAAACAAGTGTTGGTCTTAACATTATTACTAATAAATTTCAACTTTTATAATATGTAACAACTTAGTAATTTTGCTATTTTATGAGATAAAGTAATAATCTTAGTATTAAGTGTTTAAATCAAATTGTTTTTGTGGCCTCTATATACAGAGCATTGTGTCAAGTGCTCTTGTCAAGAGAAAATTGTTTCTTGTGTTCAAAATCCAGATTTTGAACTCTTAATTACATCTCAATCCAGAAAATAACCATGTGTGGCAGGTTAGTAAGAGAATGAAATGTTTCTGAACTACAGTTTCCACTAAATAAGATTTTAAGAAAGCCCTATACTGTGACTTTTCCCCCATTATATCTGTGATGAGAAAATGATGAAGATGGAACCTTAATGCCCTGAAGACAAAGTCTCAGCATCCCATTTACCTGACAAGATTTTCATTGTCTCCAGTTCCCTTGCAAGTTGCACATTCAGTTCGCAAATCTTCAGCCTTAGGCTTCTTTTGTAACACAGACTGCCTTTGCCTTCTCTCTCTAGGAATTCTTTCCTGCCATACAAGGGAAAACAAAAGAAAACAAAACATAAAACAAAATCTGGATATAAGGAAAAAAGAAATAATTTAAGCAAGAAAGTTTTTCAAAGTTTAGACTGTGTAAAAAATGCTTAACTTATTCCAACCTCATGTTTTTCTTCCTCAGGAATGAAGCTTCGCTTTCGTCCTCTGGTTCTCTAAGAAAAAAAAGATGCCACAGAAATATCTAATGTTTAATTAATAATAATAAAAAATACTCTCTGTTAAATGTTACTGCTTAAGTTAAGGACTTGGAAAATTAGTATTTCTAATTAATACTGTATTCCTCTAGCAATATTTTGTTAACAATTTATCTATGAGAGATAAAAACATAACAAATGTACTTTACAAGTTCTTTACTTTTAAAAAATTTTTTTTTTTCTTCAACGTTTTTATTTATTTATGGGACAGACAGAGACAGAGCATGAACGGGGGAGGGGCAGAGAGAGAGGGAGACACAGAATCGGAAACAGGCTCCAGGCTCCGAGCCATCAGCCCAGAGCCTGACGTGGGGCTCGAACTCACGGACCGTGAGATCGTGACCTGGCTGAAGTCGGACGCTTAACCGACTGCGCCACCCAGGCGCCCCAGAAATTCTTTATATTATACAAACATGTATGTACACACATGAGAATACTAGAAGTAGGAGGAGTCCAGGTGTAGCATTTCAGCTATAGAAGCATATAAGTTACGAAAATTGAAATGCTCTAGATAAATCATAATTGTGTGACATGTATAAAGTGTTGAAAAAAATCATTCTGATTTTGGAGAACTTATTTTTCCTATCAGAAAGTTGTGTAATTTAAAAGTAAAGAACTTAGGGGCGCCTGGGTGGCGCAGTCGGTTAAGCGTCCGACTTCAGCCAGGTCACGATCTCGCGGTCCGGGAGTTGGAGCCCCGCGTCAGGCTCTGGGCTGATGGCTCAGAGCCTGGAGCCTGTTTCCGATTCTGTGGCTCCCTCTCTCTCTGCCCCTCCCCCGTTCATGCTCTGTCTCTCTGTCCCAAAAATAAATAAACGTTCAAAAAAAAGAAAATTAAAAAAAAAAGAATTTCTGTCATAAAAAAAGTGGGAGTAAAAGATCTCAGATGTCCCCAAATCCTAGGTGAAATTAAACATGGTATAAATTACTTACTTTAAACGAATTTAGTTGAAAGTTTACATCAATTATTTCACAACATATTTACTATTACAAAGATGACCTCTACATGTTCAAAAATAATATATGGGGTGCCTGGGTGGCTCAGTCGGTTAAGTGTCTGACTTTGGCTCAGGTCATGATCTCATAGGTCATGAGTTCAAGCCCATTATCGGGCTCTGTGCCACCAGCTCAGCGCCTGGAGCCTGATTCAGATTCTGTCTGTCTCTCTGTTCCTTCCCTGCTCACACTCTCTCTCAAAAATAAACATTAAAAAATTTTTTAATAAAAAAAGTAATATAAATACAATGGTATTTGCGGCCAATATGTTAAAAATTTTATCCACATAGGACAGCCTCCTGTAGATGTGTAATCCCTATGTTCAGACCACAGCTCTTTAGAAAGATTAAAAGAGAATGGAGGCACCATTCCCACAAATTATTTTGCCTGACTGTTGAGATCAAGGAACATTCCCAAATTAGAACAGGTACCAATAATTCTAAACAGAAATGATGTCCAATACATTGATGTCTTCCTAAATTACTCTCATTTCAATTCTTCATAATACTGAGTCCACTGTCATTTAATAACATTGCCAATTGATACTGTTTAATCTACCCCTAGATAACCAAGCGTTGACTAAATTAGTCATTCAAAGGAAGTAAATTTATAAACTATATGTACTGCTAATCAGGATGTTCTAATTACATTATGGAATAAGTTAGAAAAAGACTATATCCAGGAAAAGGCTTTAAATGCAGGCCCTACACATTAAGGAGGGCACTTGCTGCCATGAACACTGGGTGTTGTATGTAAGTGATGAATCATTAAATTCTATTCTGAATTCTATTCTGAAACTAGTATTAGGCTATATGTTAACCGACTTGGATTTAAATAAAATTTAAAAAAAAAAGAAAAAGGAAAACACACACAAAAATAAAGATATTTTCTCCACACATATACACAAAAAAAGAAAAAAATCTTTGAAGTTACTGACTGAATTTACTGCCAGAGTCAATGAATTATTCACCTTTGTAACTCTGGTACACAGGAAGCAAAGTATCTGGTACTAAGTAAGCACTAAATAAACAGTGGTTGAATAATGCATGGATAAAAAAATTTAAGATAGATAAAATAATTAAGAGTAGGACCTACATATAATCATTCTTACTTCCAAAAAACAGTACTGAGCCTTGCTCCTCAAAATATCAGTCATGGCCCATAAATTCTGGCATCCCCTGGGAGCTTGCCAGAAATGTCGAAGCTCATGCTCACTTCGACATACTGAATTAGAGTCTGCCCTTTAACAAGATCCGCAAGCAAATTATACACACATTAAAGTTTGAGAACATCAGTATGAAGAGTCCTTAATACTGACACTTATCCAGGTTTCACCTATAACCTTGAAGCTAGCTCTTTACATATTCATCTTTCCTTTCTGTGACATTCCTGTTCTTTATGCTTTAATTTCTGTCCTCTGACACAATTCATCACAAAACTGGTAAAAGCCTTGTCCTATTCATCTTTCTTGACAATTAAAAATAATACAACATGTACTACATTAAAGCTCAATAAATTTGTTTTAATCAAATAAGTGGGTAGATTGAAACTCATAATTATACTAGATAATACAAATGATAAAACAACTGACAAAAAGGATAAATTACTGTTCCCTTCTCTACTGATCTATTTTTAATTTGCATAATTTATGCAATAAGGTCATTTCAATAAGGTGATCCAAATAACCAATATCAAAGGGGAAATATTGAAATTACTCATTTGAGTCCCATAACATCTAAGAATCCCCAAAAGGCCTTCACACATTCCCCTATTTTTCTTCATTCAACCCATCTTTAGGTAATGAAGTAGCAATTCAGTTTGTTTCTTTATCTAGTAGTAAACTGCTACCAGTAATTAGGGTTCTTTTTTGCATAGAAGTCAACTACTACCAGGTTTTTAAATTATCTAACCATTGAATTAATTTTTGAAATATATATGTGAATGTCCTAAGTTCATGTTTGCAATTCTTTTGAAGATATACAATAATTTAACATTTCTGATTAATACTTTAAATCCTTAAACCTCTCATATGATTGCATCAATTGCAAGTTTTTCATACCCACACTGTAATTAATATCATAAGGCATAAAGCCAAGAGGTGATACCATCACACAATGGCATAGTTGTATTTCTCAATAAATTTCTTATTTAACCATGTATATGTCTTATGAAAGTGCTATTTTTTTCAAGTTTATTTAATTGTTTTGAGAGAGAGAGAGAGAGAGAGCGCATCAGAGAGAGGGAGAGACAGAATCCCAAGCAGGCTCTGCACTTCCAGCGCAGCGCCCGATGCAGGGCTGGATCCCACGAACCATGAGATCACGACCTAAGCAGGAATCAAGAGTCAGATTCCACCCAGGCTATTTTTTTAAAGTGCTATTTTTTAAAATGTTTATTTACTTATTTCTGATGGGGGGGGGGCAGAGAAAGAAAGAGAGAGGGAGTGTGCACATGCACACGTGTGCATAAGTGGGGGGTGGGCATAGAGAGAGAGAGGGAAACACAGAATCCAAAGCAGGATCCATGTTCCAAGCTGTTAGCACAGAGCCAGACGAGGGGCTAGAACTCAGGAACAATGAGATCATGACCTGAGTTGAAGTCAAATGCTTAATGGACTGAGACACCCAGGCACTGCAAAGTGCTATTTTTAAAATGAATATATTTATAATTACCCAAAAGAGTCATTTTAAATTAAGTATACTTATTACCAAATGGTAATCTTTGATGTATTTCTGTGGTAATTTTAAATAACAAAACACAAGTAACATAAACAATTTCCAGCCAGAAAAAAAAAAGAGGTGTTATAAACAAGATGAAATTATAGCATCTTAGAGCTCTGAAAAAGCAGTCCAAAGAAGTGACTTGATGATTACACAGCTGATAACTGACAGAGGCAAAGTTTAAACTCAGGTAGCTCAACTCTTAATTCAGTAATTTTTGTTGCATGGCAATCCAAGGTTAATAGTATAATCCCAAGTAGAAATGAGTAAAATTATTACAAGAAAGCAAATCTCTTATTTCCACTTGAATACTTAAATAAATTATAACAGTGTGATGCCTAAAGGAAAAATTCTTGTATTTTGAAACAAGTAGAAACTTCCTTCCAATTAAGAGGAGACTTCAATACCTTAAAATGACACTATAATCTACCCAACTTGGCATTCTATACAGTACAATGACTAATAGAATCCAGTACCAAAGTAAAGTACAGCAATCTTCTTTTTTTGGCATTTATCACACCAGTAATATTAAAAAAAAAAATTAATCCAAACACAGTTTTTTGCAATACCAAGTCCTCCAACTAGGGAAATACTGGAAATTGTTGTTTGCCCCCTAGGTTTTTTTTTTAGTATTTATTTTGAGGGAGATAACGCATGCATGTACACATGGGATAGGAGCAGATAGAGAGGGAAAGAGTTTTCTTTTCCTAGTTTTAATGAAGTGGCAGCCACTGTAATAATGACAATTCATAACTTCCTACAATCGCAACAGGTAAGATATCTTAAACATGGTGTCCCTGAAAGAATCAGAAAATGTAAGGGTAAGAGTTAAAAAGGGAGAAATGATGCAAAAAGGAGTAACAAAAACATGTTTAACTCATGCAACAAATTTCAATTATCCAAAAGCTTGCTCTATCTTAGATATATAGAAATATTCATAACTGGGTGGTCATTTCATGATATATATACATTGAGGCTGATGTTATTTTAGAAGCATAATAATAATAATAATAATAATAATAATAATGCAGGGTGAAAACAGCATGTGGAAGAAGGAAGAATTTTATTTAACAAGTATATGCTTTAGAACTTAACACAGATACATTATCTAGAATTCCCAATGATAGAGGGTTCAATTGCAAATATTTCTTTCTTTGAACCTCACTCCAAATCTTGATATATTTCTGGTTTTTTTCTGTGTTGTTATTTTGTAAGAATTTTATTATTGCCTAGGGAACAATG